AACGTCACAATGCCTCCTCTTCATCTCACATGAGCACTATGATGAGAAATTAATTAAAGTCTACATGGCACATGGATACTAGTGTGATGAGTAAGATAGAGTAAGAGGAAATTAAATGGTCCTGGCTCTAGAAGACAATGTGAACTGAGAGCAAACTGGTATACCTGCTCCATTAATTGAGCTCTGAAACTTAGAAAAAAAAATATGAGTATGATCATTTAACTAGTGACTTTATCATAGTGCACAAAATGGGGGGAATTAAGGTTAAAGGGGGGAAACTAAGATTACACAGTCTTAATATTAATGTTAGCTAACTGTGAGCATGTGACTTAGCATCCCTAATAACATTATTTTAAAATAATTTTTAATGTGTAATTATTTATAAAGCTCGAGACAGTAGGTGTGCAGGATGCTTTATAGGCATATAAAATTGACTGATCCCTGCCCCAAGGAGCTTGCATGATGACACCATACAAGGGATGGGAAAGGAGGGGGTATGGGAGGACAGAGTTGCAACACTGTGAGATCATGAGATGTGCTTACTGCTACATAAGCAACATTTCAGCTTCTTTGTGGTTTTCTTGTTACTCATTTAACACTATATATTAAAATTTGGTGAACAGATACATAACACAAATCAACTGTAAGGAAGGATACAAAGAAAGAGAACTACGTTGTACTGTGTTCAGAGTCAGCAGTTACTAAGACATTCACAGCCAATATTGCATGTAGTCAATTATTTATAGGGGTTATCCTGTGTCACCTCCAGCTGAGATCAGGATTCTGCTCCACCAGGCACTGTATAAACATATTGTGAGATATCATAACTGTGTGCAGAGTTTTACACAGTAAGTGGCTGACAGGCATATCAGAGGCAGAGACAAAGATGGTTTAATAGATTAGAGGCAGAACCAAGGGTTGAGTGATTTGGTACTCTACACGCTAACTCTTCTGTTTATTCTCATTAAGGCTGCTTAAACAAGAATCCCAAAACAGAACAAAAAAGAGTGCACATGCAAATGGTTCTTACATACTGGAAAACAAGACCAAGGAGAACTGGAAACCCCTGGGCTATGGAGACTTTCTTTTAGGAATTTGTCTATATCTTCTCTAGGAACAAGATTCAGAATATGTTGCATTTGTCATTTCTGTATGTACAAAGTTTGTACACGACTTACTACCCTGGCCATACTATTATGCTGCCACATGCAGACAAACCTATTGCATGTTGAAGACTGCGTCCCTCAGCACTCCATTCTTTCCCTGACTTCAGTAACAGATGAGGTACAGACCCTGCTATGATATTCTAAAGCTACCAGATATTTCTGCTGCACTGAGACCACACATTCCATGCAGTGAATGATTCCAGAAGCTCCAAGAAAAATAAATTTAATAATACATGTACAATTAACCAAAGTAAGCAACATGGCAAAATACTCTTCATGATCTGGAGTGCAGGCTAAGAGCTCAGAACAAATCTACTGAAGAACTGTGGGCTTGACTGCGCTCTTCACTGAAGTTTGTCAGGGTGCATAAGCAAAAGATCACTTGGTCCTTTTTTATAGCCTCTTCACACTCTAAATATAATCTGTTTCCACTTTAAGGATAGTTTTTATTACCCATGCAGTACAAAATGATTGTAGTATACAGAATTATAGTTATTTCACAAGGTAAAAAGACCCAGTTTTTACTAGCTTTACAATTTAAAGCTAAATATTCCCATGATTTTTATTAACTTTTTTTTTTTCCCCCAAGCCTGGGCCAAATTAACTACAATTTCTGGCTTCAGTGGAGCTCAGACTCAAGGAGGACGCTATTTCACTTCCGCTAACTACTGTATCTTTATAGTATTGACATGTTCTCTAAATCTATCTTTTCATATCTCCCTTTTAGAACTGAGTTAGATCTTGGTACACGGACTGGAAAAAGACAAAAAGGAACTGTGAAACTCCATGTAAAATTTTCCTTCAAGTTCTGTAGTTTTTGAAACACATTTGAAACTCTGTGTAGCTTGGTATCGATTATTCATTTAAACTGCACTTTGACTTGTCTGGGAATTTAGAAGGCTGCTTTGGTCCTCAATGCAGCTCATTCATCACAAGAACTACATATAATCTCAGGGCTCCCAGCAGATTTTTATCTCTGGGGTGGTGGCTGCTCTGACAACAGCAGCTGAAATTGATGCACTCCAAATTTGACTGTACTAAATGCTGTACGCTGAACTGATTTAAATCCCAGAAAAAAACGAGAATTTAATATGAATAGCTTAAAAAACAAACAAACAACAACTAACCCATGGCCATTTTGTCCTCCCCTCTACATTTGGGAAATGACTTTTAAAAACTTAGCAAGTTAGCCTCAAAAGGATTTAGAAGAGCACGATTTTCAAAGCAGTTTTTTTCTACAAAAATAGGTTAGCAGTGGAACTAGATTTACCTTGAAACATTGCTGGAACATTCAGAGCACAAAAGCTTAAAGATTTTACTTATTAGTATCTTCTCTGTGGCAGCCTCCATGGTTGCTGCCATGAGAATAAAATCCATCACAAATGTTAGACTTCAGCTCTACCTTAAAGTTGATTTGAAATAATTTTGCTGTCCCAGAGACTAAAATACCCACAATTAATGAAACCCTCTACTTCAGCAACAAAACCATCTCCTATTTTCTCTCCTTTTTAATTACAAAATCACAGAATGACCTGGGTTGGAAGGGACCTCAAGGATCATGAATCTCCAACCCAATTATGTCCTTTATTAATTAGTCAAATTATGGATCAGACAAATACGGAATATTTAAAATACTAAAATCACTTAAGTTTAGACTGGGAGCCTAGTTCAACCTGCTTCTCCAAGCAGGGATAGTTTCAAAGTCAGCTGAGTCTTTCCAAGGCTCAATAACTCTAGCCGAGTTCTGAAAACCTCCAGACACAGAGATTTCTTGAAGTCTCTGTGCAGCCTGCTCATTGTCTATTCTGAGGAATTTCCACCTAATATTCAATTTTTATTTCCTTTACAGCAGCTAGTAACTATTATTTCTTCCACTGTGTACCCCAAGAAGCCTCTGCATCCATATTCTGCTCACAGTCCTCCTTTTGTATGGTGACAAACTGGCAGTCAGATCCCTCCATATCTGCATTGCTTTTGCAAGACGAGCAATCCCAGCGTCCTCTCCCCCCCATACTTTTCATCTCCAGCATCCTGTCAACTCCGTGGCTCACCCACAGCCCCTCTGCAGTTTGCCATCCTCTCTCGGGACTGGATGCAGTACTACAGAACTGGACTCCCAGATGCAGAGCAGGGGGAACAACGACCTCCCTGACTATGATGGGCTGTGCTCTTGCAGCCCTGTATGTCTTTCCACCTTCCAATCCTCCCACTTGGCAAGTGGCAGCCCTGCTAACCAGCCAATTAAATGGTTCCCCAGGTCAGTGGCTTTTGCAAATTCTATTAATAATGTGTTTTGTAACACTGTCCTGCTGCCTCTTCTTTAAGTACCCTTTCCACATATTAAAAATCAAAAATTTAGTTTGTTTATGTGGCAAAGGCAAATCCAAAATCTAGAAAAAGTCCAAAATATTTTCAATTGATTAAGATTTTCTTACAGTGCTTTGCCTCGATGTTTGCACTCAGTATTATGGCAATGATTTTTGTTTTTTTTTTTTTCTTCCCCTAAATGTACATGTGTTTTTTAACCCCTTAAGAACCTTGATTGTAAGGAAAATTGGGACTGCTTAATTATCTTAATACTGAAATTAATGTTGTTTTTTTGGATCAGGTCTGGAATGGTAACTGTAACTACTACACTAGCCTATTTAATACTCAGAACCCAAAACACTGCAGAAGGGAAAATCAGAAGTAAAATGTATTTCTGAACAAGTATCTAAATGAGACTTGACTTGTTCCCCTTGATATTGATGAGAAAAGCCCTGAAATCATTCCAATACGTTAAATACTGACTTGGCCTAGTTTATACCTAATTCATCATCCACTGCATGATCCAGGATGAAGTTCTCCCTCAGAAATGTGTGGAAGGAAATAACTAGGTCATGATACATGTTCTTATGAAGGGGCTACAGATTAGTAGCTGAATGGAGACAGACCAGAAAGCACAGACTTTGTGTCAACTGAGAATTCAGAGGAATTTCTGGCCTCTGTCCCATGACTCGGCAGCATCACACAGAGTGGATCCCTGTCAGTATTACCAGGCCACCCTCCTTGCTGAAGGCACAGCTTCCTTCCTATTTGGCCAGTTTGTATTTGCAAAGTCCTATAAATTTTGGGTTCCCACTGTGGCCCTGCCACCAACTATGTGAGTTTTGGCAAACAAACAGTGTCAGAGTCACTTCTGATTGAGGGCAGTTTCTAGTTGAATTCCAGGTTCTTGTACTTCCCTGCAAAACTGCAGCACAATGTTTGTTTATACAAAAAAAAAAAAAAAAAAATAGAAAAAAGTGTAAAAAAACACCAAAGTACAACACCAGTGGAAGCTAGCAGTAAGTGAACATACATATGCATGTACATGCACATACCCACAAATAAACCCCCAAATTTCACGAAATATATCCTTTTCTACTTGACTTTAAATGGCTTGAATTTTCCCATTTTATGAATTTTTCCATTTATAACCTGTAAGTTATTTTTCTAGATCAATACAAAATATCACTTCAAGTACTTCATACACCACCAAACCCACAACAGAAGCCAAATTGTAACAACGTTACTTCAAACTTTTTGGAGAAATTAACTCTGGAGGGCAGCAGTCTTTAGCAAGAAACTTAACTACAAGTTCAAACAGAAAAGTGACCTTTGCCTGTTGCTACAAGTATGTCACTGGAGGGGATTTGGCAGAGCTTTTCTTCAATGGGAGGAGTCAGCTGGCTTCGGTACCGGTTTATGAAAGAGCAGAAGAAAGTAGAAGCAGCAGCTGGCTTTCCTAAATGCCTCCCTGCAAGAAGGACATGTAAAATATTTTCCAAGAGTTGGCTTCAAATGAATTCTTACCTGTGTGGAGTACTGGCATATCCCACGTTATTGCAGTACGTGCTCTTTACAGAGCAAGTCTCTGTACCATAGATCATGTCTGAGTCCATGTAGCCATTCACCAGCTTGATGTCTCTCAACTTCATACTCTCATTTTGTGAATCCAGTGACACAATGTCAGATGGGGAACTCACTACACCTGAGTCTTCAGTAGTGTCCTCAGATGCAAAGCAGCTGCTTTCTGATGCTGTTTCTTCTACTTCTGATAGCTCCATAACTGCATCATCCACTACATAAAAATTATCATGTGCAGGCAGCAGGCTCTCTAAATGAAATACAGCAAGTAAAGTTAGTTGAAAGTAGTTAGGAAATAAATACAGAGATCTACTGCTTTTTAAGTAGAAAATGAACACATGAAATCCTTTAGAAACAGTACAATAGACCAGAGCTCAATATTTGTCTACAAAGGCTGCTCTGAAAATAAAGCCTCCTATTTTATTACGTTGTCACATGATGTCAAAGGTAGATGTTGGTATGGCAGCAGAGGTTAAACCTTCCCACCAATATTCCATTACATTTTTTTGCTGTATGACAGATGGTAGCAGAGGGGCAGTCTGACACAATGGCACCTAACATGGAAGTGCAGATGAAGGCGTAGATGAATTCCAACTGACATTCATCCACATTTGCTGAATGTTTCTGGAGACGAATAAACCAAAATTTAAATGATAGGGTGCAAGACATGATTCCTGTTATCGCTTGTGAAGACATAGTCTAATTACTCCTTTTTAATTTTTCCAAATTATCTCCCATAATAATACATAGATAAAAATAAGCAGCATTTCCCAGGTAAGACACTGAATTGGTATAATAGATCTACACATGGCCTACAGGATGAGTCACTTTATTTTACCATTTTTCAATTTCCTATGTCTTAAGTGGGAGAGTAACAATCACCTCTCAGCAAAGCATAAAAAATCAAGTAGTGTTAGAAAAAAGTAGACACAACTCAAAGCTGAACCTTTCCCAGCTTTTAGTCATTTGTAAAGGAAATCAAGGGATATGCTTTTTGCATGCTTAATTGTATTAAGAGTTGCAAGTGATGAGAGATGATTAGATACTGTATGGTTTTTCATGTTCTGATCTAGTTTGTTTCCTATGAGACACCTGTGGGCTGTTGCTGTTTTTTTTGTGTGTGTGTTTTTGCATCACATCATTTAAACATTTCATTTTGTTGGTGGGTTGGTTTTTTTGTTTTGTTTTTTTTGGTGAGAAATATAATTTTGTTATTTTCCTTAGGTAATGTACAACTCTGCACTCTGCTCTGCAATCACACTATTAAAGGGGAATGGCTAATAATGTCAATAATTTCAGAGAGTGACAGAAGCAAATTCAAACACACTACTTTTGATCATAACAAATCAATAAAGACTAATCTGAATGTTTAATTGGTAATTAAAAGTGTGCCCCATTTTCTTCTTCAACAACCATAAGCAAAAGGTAGGTTAAACAACTGGTTGTGTTCTAATCTTGCAGACACTTGTGGTAGATGTTAATTACATGAAGAGTACCACATCTACATGTGTGATTAAGATTAAACATACACTTCACTATTTCTAAAGTCATAATCTACAAGTTTTTGAAGCATACATGAAGCTACATGTCAATGAAAATCATAGAAATAATTTTGTATTATGTTGTATACACAGAACTATTCTCTTTAAGTCAGGGAACTGAAAGCAACTTTGTTAAAAAAAAGTATTGCAAAAATAATCTTGGAAGGGTGTAACTTAGTGAAGCTTTGAGTAAAACTAAAATAAAAATCAAACCAACATTCTCCTTGACTGAGGTTACAAGACGCCATTAAGTACTGAAATTGATTTCTGACAGCAGAAGCAATAAAACTCATAGGGTTACAAATCATGATTAAAGTTGTAAGTGCTGTCAAGCATCAATATTAATGATGGGAGATGATCCAAAGGCTCTATTGTGACTTTGGAAGTAATGTTACTCCATTTCTTTGACCTTATTTTCTGTAACATTAACTCCAGGTTCCAGATTTAATCCAAGAGATTGTTCCATGTAAAAATATCAATTATAGGAATAAATTATGTGACACTGATGGATTATAGTATGCTCATAACAGAACTACAACACCAGTATCAAGGAGAAATAAGAATAACTTGACATTAAACACCCAGCAATAAACACCCACAAAAATATACATTGAACGAATAGGTAAAAGTATATGGCCTGCTTGGCTTTTAATTAAAAACAAAAATCCCCAGCAACAGTCTGCCACCAAAGCATTAGTAAAAGCTACAATAGGTTAAAAACAGACCAAAGTACAATACAGCAAAGAAATCACAAGTGGAAAGTAAAGAGCAGAAGCACATGTAAAGTCTTGGAGCAATGCACAATGCAGTATATTTTGATGCAAAGAGACCTCAACATAACACTGGCTACAACATTTGTCACCAGGATGCCATAAATGATCTTCATCCTGCAGTTTATGACAAAGTACCTGCTTCCAGTTCCTTATACCAGGATGGCAGGCTTTTCCTCTTGAGCTGTCTCTCTCATTTCCTGCTCCTCTTTTTGCCTGCCTGCAACTATTTCTGGCATCTTTCTGTTTCAGATTATAGACCTTTGGTCACATAGTCTCACTCACGCACTGCAGTAGTGAAATCCTTTTCTTTCAGAGGTTTTATCCAGCAAGGTGCCCTGCTGCAGGACCTCCACACTGCAGCCCTTTCTTCACACATACTGTTAGAATGAAAACTGATTCTCTAATTATCAATGTCCACACATGTGAACAGGTCCCTATCAGTTATGCTTGGGTCTTGGCAGCTGAATCATCCTGTTCAGTGTAAGAACCTTCTTGTTTAGCAACATCTATCTCAACAATGGGAACACAGAAAGACGCCTTTCAATTCAGTGATTAAATTCCCATGAAAAACCAAATTGACTCTCTCACTTCAAGTCTATCAGTTTTGTTGAAGCAGTTCCCTCATCTTTTATCTTCACAGAGAAGATCCTTTAGTTCCAACATTAACATATGTCAAGAGAGTTGCTGGATGAGGTAAAACATTTTGATTATCACTACTGCTTATCTTAATACGTAGGCACACACATGAATATTGACAGCTGAAGTTCTATGTTACGTTTTAGCTGTTGTGAATTGGAGCTATCCTTAGATGGTTGAAATAAGAACCTGTTCTTCCTTTCACACACTTGAACAAGTCTTCACCAGTGCAAACTAGGATGTCCAGGCCACACGAGGACACAGCAGTTTCCTCAGAAAACACACAATGCAAAAAGTCTACCTCAACATATGTAGTGGTCTTGACTCTGGGAATCAGAAAATAGCTTTTACGGCTTTCTAGTCTTACATAGATGACCAGGTAATGAGCAGTAGCAGATGCAATCCTGTCCTACAATTTTTGTGTATTTTCTCCTCAGACAGAGTGTGTGTGCACAAAAAACACCACACACTGGCCACTGTATGACCAGAGTATTGGCAACTAACTGTGGCCAAACGAAGAAAAAAATTACTATTTGGTGCTCTCTTCTCTGTCATAAGGCTAAGACCATTTCAGTTTGGCCTCTGATTTTAAAGATCTTATGCAGACACAAAACATCCGGGCTGAGATACAGAAAACTGAGCATTTACTCCATGACCTGGCACACAAATAATGATTGCCACAGACAGCGTACTACTGAAACAATGCTGTATCTCAGAAGACTGCATTTCTGAAGGAGTAACAGTGCCAAGCTCTTCTTTCAGTTAGACATAACCCACTTAGAAGTATGGATATGAGCTGAAAAGGTCCCACAGTCATGGAGTTCAACTCCTGATTTCAAGTAGATTGTGGTCTCCAACTCTACTAAAATTTCTGTGTGATATCTCATCCACAGTTTCAGTCAGCATTCCTCCATGCCTTGCACTCTCCTGTACCTACTCGGTACAACAGGAGGAGATGCTGCAAGGCCCAGAGGAGAGTCCCGCCACAGCTCTGCCCTGCTCCCCAGCACCAGGCCTGTCGCTGCACAATTAGGTCAACCACAACCGACAACGGCTTTCTTGGGGAAGCTGTTAGCAGGAATGTTGCCCCTGATCATCAGGAAGCAAAGGGAAGAGTAGCTCATCAGTAAAGAATGCAAGCTTCTTGTTTAACACAAAAGAGATTTCGTTGCTTTAATCTCAATAGGCTGTAAGTAATTAGGAGAACACTGAGCTCTGAGCTCAGAAGAGCCATATCTGCACTTGTGCAGCTTGATAGTGCATATATGTACATATTACTCATACAGAATGACAGTGACGGAGAGATAGATAAACATCTGGTTTAAATGCCAACACACACTTTTGGAAATGAAGACCAAATTCAATACAAAATGACAATCATGGGTGAAATCCTCACTTTGATTACTGATATGAAAATAACCACCATCAACTTCAAACAGGACTGAGATCAGACTGAAGTGTTCAAAAGATACACGTCTCACCCAGATGTATGAAATCAGAACCCAAGTCCACAACACTGAAGACCAAACCATCCCTCCCTCAGAGTCCACTGTGTACAGCACATTTGTCTTCTCTTGCCAAAGTGCAACTGTTCACTAAGAGCTGCGACCTCCCTCCTGCATTTATGACATTGCTGGTTGTTTACTGTCACGTTCAAAGATAGACTACAGCCAAAGGCGTTTTTCAAGAGACAGCAGCTGATGTGAAAAACTGGAACTTCGTACTGATTTTAGAGATGCCGAGTTCCCATAATTCCCCTGAGTTCTTGTTCCCTAAGAGGTTGGCAATTATTTTCCAATTTCTTTCACCACTTGTTCCACTGAGAAAAAACTTTCTTTTCATGGATTGAAATTGCTGTAGTTCAAGTGGCCTATTACACTAGAATTGTTAAAAATATTACAAACTTCATCATGTTAAAGAATAATAATTCTTATAATGATGCCCAAATTGCAACATAATTATTTTACTGACAGTACTTAAAACTTCTAGCAAGGCAAAAAGTTGCTCTAATTCTTTACACTGGCAGTACAAAGTAAAGATCAGTGTTCAAGAAAAGTGTGCATTTTTTCATGTACTTGGAAGAAGCCTGGTGGAAAAAGATGGGGAATTATGGCAGTGGTTAACAGAGATTATAAAAATAAGCAATGCAGGAGCAGTGTAAGAATTTTCACACAGGTACAATGTGTACCGGTTATTTTACTCATTTTGCTCATTTATCAAAAACTTGTATGTGAAGTATAGGTTCAGTTAAAGAACAAGACAGAAAGAGCTATCTTCTCTGAATTTATGAGAATTTAGAT